CAGTGGAGTATCTTAGATGGCCGCTCACAGGCTTTTAAGACCCCAGACACTACTCACCAAGGTAGAATGTAGAGCATTGTCTTTATAAGCTGTGTCATATCCATTGGCAATTTTTAATATTTCACTTGTGCAGAACTGAGTTTGTATTGAAAGGCACAGAAGTGTTATAAAGCAAAGATGTCACTTTGAGGACTAAGGTTCCCCTGAACCAAAGCCATGATATTTTTAATCTCCTCATCTGCATGCGAAAGCTGGACAATGAATAAGGCACACCAAAAGAGAATTGATGCCTTTGAATTATGGTGTTGGCGAAAAATACTGAATATACCATGGACTGCCAGAAGAACGAACAAATCCGTCTTGGAAGAAGTATATGCTCCTTAGAAGTGAAGATGGTGAGACAAAGTCTCACTTGCTTTGGACAAGTTATCAGGAGGGACCAGTCCCTGGAGATGGACATCAGGCTTGATAAAGCAGAGGGTCAGCAAAAAAGAGGAGGACGCTCAACGAGATGGACTGACACAGTGGCTGCAACAACGGGCTCAAGCATAACAACGATTGTGAGGATGGTGCAGGGCCAGGCAGTGTTTCGTTCTGTTGTATATAGCACCGCTGAGAATTGGAACGGCCTAGACGGCACATAACAACAACAAGAAGAGAACAGACGCACAGAGAGGGGAGAGCCGCACCAGCCACAGCAGCTCTCACTGGAGTGTCTGACCATGCACAAGTTATCCAGCCTCTTCCCAGCTGACGCCTCCTATGGTTCCCTGACGGTGGGGACGTAAGGAGAACATCAGGACGTGATTGCAAACCAGCAACCTGCAAACGTGTGTAAGTGTGCGCTGTTGTCTTAAGTGGGACAGGTGCTGGGCTTTGTCGCTCAGCGTCCGTTTCACCCCCTTCTCTGCTTGCCCTGGAGCACAGGACGGAAGCCTGGGCTCTCTATTTCCCAAGCCCTCTCGTTACCAGAGTTCTGGAGGCAATTTGGATTCTGCTAATAAGACGCATGCAGCATCCGTCTGTCTGTCCATCTGTTGCACTGTGGTGGCTTGCGTGGTGCTGTGATGCTGGTAGCTATGCCACCGGTTTCAAATACCACCAGGCTCGCCTGTGGTGGACAGGTTTCAGCACAGCTTCCAGACTAACACGAGGGAGAAAGGCATGGCGACCTACTTCCGAAAATTAGCCAAGGAAAGCCCTAGGGGATCAGAGAATACGGTGGGAGATTTTAACTCGCTGGCTCTGTACGCGTCATCAGGAGGAACCGATCACATTTGGTAAGGTGGAGGGCCAGTGAAGGCCAGGGAGACCCTCCGTGAGATGGACTCGCACACAGCCCACAACGGGCTCAAACATACCAAGCCAGGATCGTGAAGATGGCGCAGGACCAGGCAGCATTTCATTCTGCCGTACGTGGGGTCACCATGAGTTGAAGTCAATTTCGTGGCAACTAACAGCCACAGCAACAAGGAATGTGGAGGGGGTTTGACTGCTGAGCAGTGGTCACATTCTTAACAGAATCTTCCTAAGAAAATGCTGGTTACTGACTTTAGGACTAACGTAACTTCAGAGGGAGGAAACAAACATGTACCAAAAGTGCTCTAGGTACCTGACCTGTTACTGCATTGAATCCTCATAATGTCACAGCCATTAACACAGAAAGAACCTGCTCAGACAGATTAAATAACGTGGTTCTACAAAGAGATCAAGTGGAGAGGGCAGGACTCAAAGCAAGCGGTCTGTGAAGCTCTTGAGATCCCCATCCACTGAAGCAAGCCACCTTCTTCATTTTAAATTAAGGTATCTGCTTATCATGAAGATCTTCTCATTGCCTCGGGCTTTAAACAACTCGTCCTGTTTTTCCTGCTTCTACATCAAATAACAAACTTTTCCTTTGGATGATTTAAAAATGAGAAGATAAGATGATTCAGGAACTTTGAGTTTAAGGCCAGAAGTATCCGAGCTTCCATATCTGTTCCCGCCTTGACGGACAAACCTAACTAACCTTTCCTGCTCCGTTCCAACCTGTTGTTTTAGACCAAACTGGTGACCCCTGAACAGTACGTTCCCACCACAATCTCAACGGCTGAGACACAAAGACATACAGCCCTGTCAGCAGTATCGGGAAATAAGTTGCCTGGATTAGCTGCTGTATAAGAAATACGGATTATATTCATGTCACACATGAGCTGTCAGAAACATTAGGATACTTTTAACATAAATCAGCCATGTGAAGGGTATCTTATAAGGACTGAGCATAATATACTGCCTGAGGGGCCAGGTGGGATTGCTGGGCCACCTTCTAAGCATAAGCACATGTACACACTCACATATTATCTGCCAGGAACTGGTATTAACAACGCGAATGTAGGCTGGTGACCGACAGGCACACTCGACTAGCGGGTGGGGGGGGGGGTTGTTGCTGTTGTGAGGTGCCATCGAGTTGATTTCGACTCATGGCGGCCCCATATAACACGGCAGAACTGCTCATGGGGTTTTCTAGGTGTAAACTTTACGGGAGCAGATCACCAAGGTTTATCTTCCACAGAGCCTCTGGTGGGTTCGAACCACCAGCCTTTCAGTTAGCAGCCAAGCGCTTAACCATTGCGCCACGAGGGCTCCTCGCAGTAGGTTAGTCATGTGAAATGGCTCTTCCACTCCAAGGCCATGACAGAAAGTCCAACTCTAAGCAACAATAAGAATGAATAAAAACCAAACCATCACTGAGTGAATCCTAACTCATGGCAACCCCATGTGTGTCCATGGAGTTTCCAACGGCTGATTTTTAGGAAGAAGATCATCAAGGCTTTCTTTCAAGCCACCTGTGGGTGGACTGGAACCTCCAAGCTTTCATTTAGCAGCCATGTGCACCACCTAGGGCTCCTGACGAAAAATACACTTCCCTAAACTACAACGAAGAGTGTGTGTGTGTGTGTGTGCGCGCGCGCACATGGATGGGCCTGAGAAGGCACAACAATGCTTTAGAATTGGTATCTAGTGATTCTGCAGAATTTCAGTGCTTCACACAAAGAAGACCAAGGAATCTGCTGATATAACGGGAACAAAGGCACCCTCCACGTTCAGACCAACTGGGGCTCAAACTCCAGCTCCCCCACTTACAGCTGTGTGACACTGGCAAGTTACTGAATCTGCCTAAGCCTCCATTTCCCACCCACAAATGAGGATAATAACCCCAACAGGGCTGTCCTTAAGAACGAAACAGAACATCAGCTATGAAGTGCCTAGTACATTAAAGCTGTTCAGCAGCTTCCCGGCTGGCCACCTCAACCTCCTCCAATGGGCCTCCAATGGGCCTCCCTGCCGCAGCGTGGGCGGCTACGTACTCAAGCTGCAGCTGGGTCTGTTCTGACTCATGGTGACTGCACGTGTCAGAGGAGAACTGTCCTCCGCAGGGTTTTCAATGGCTGATTTTTCAGAAGTAGATCACCAGGTCTTTCTTCTGAAGCACCACTTGGTGGATAGGAACCGCCAACTTCTCGGTTAGCAGCTGAGCCCGTTACCCTTCTGCACCTCCCAGAGACC